CTCGGGGGTTGCTGCTTGGTCGAGTGGTTGGTGCCTGTTTCGGAAGCCGCAACCTTCGTGGCTCTTTTGCTTGGATCTTTGGACTTAAAACTGTTTCGAACCAGCGAATTTTCCATCGGAGCCACAAACAGTTGAACTTTTGGCAGAGGGTCAACAACGGCAAACAAGCAACGAAAGCGTTGCATTTCCTTGGCGTTGTCATGCCACAACACAACCTGGATTGTCGCCCTATGGTCATGCCAAGTCTTGATGTGACATTTTTGGGGGAATGTTCCAGGAAAAGCTCTTGGGCGTGTATCTTTTTCAGGGTACTTTTTTTCTTCTCCCGGCAACCAAAAGGACGCCCCCCCCCCCTCGCCAGCCATTTTGGGGGGTTCGAGAGTTCGAGATCAAATTCCTCCCAGGACTCCGAGTGGCGCACGACCATCGGGGAGTTCGTGGAGGGCTTGTTGAGCCAGGACAAGTGACCTGAGTCCAGGGAGAGCCCTCTGACGAGTTTGGGGGATGTCTGACCCTTTTCGGGTTGAAGAAAGTGACGGAATCCAGGAATCTCAAGAAGCACAGGTGTTTTGGTCGAAAAATAGATGGCGATTCCTGGTTTACCAGGGAATTCCAGCTATTTCCCCTAAAAGGACACCTATGTCAGGGAGAGCCCCTCTGACCAGGGGGATGTCGGACCCCTTTTTCAGTGGTGGTTGAAGAAAGGGACGCCAGGAATCCAAGGCAGACAGGGGGCGCCCGGATGGAGAAACTCCCACATGTGTCCATTCGCTGTAAGGTGTTTGGTACTTGCCCAGCGGGCATCAGAAACGGAAAAATAACGGGCAGGTTTTTCTAGCTCTCTAAAAGACACCCTGCCCAAAAAATGAGAATTGGAGCCGTGACCAGTGTGAATATGTTGCTCAGACTCTGCGGCCGTTTTTAGACCACACTGCCCCTCGCCATCTTTTTGTCTGACTTGTGTCCGGGGGCCCAGTCGAGATCAGCTGAAGGCATCAGCAACTCTCTCTCTCTCTGCCTGCCTCCCTCTCCTCTCCCGCCCGCTTGCATTGCTAGGCGGTGTTTGCGATCCTTAGATCTGGCTCTTGCAACTCCAATCTGCAACACCCCGGACTTCCGAAGGTCTCATGGGCAACGCCGCGAACGCGCAGTGCCCGCCCTGGGGCGACCACATGGTGGTGCAGGATGCCTACGAGGCCGGGTGTGGGGCTTCTCTTGGCTGAGTGAGGGGGGGCGAGTAGGGGCAGGCTGAGCGGGTGGTATCCCCCGTTGACGGTTCGGCTTCAGGCGGAGGACGAGCCGGATCCAGCGCCCTGGCTTTCAAAACGTCACGCTTTGGCCCTCTCGAGATCCGCACCTGCATTGCATCTGCATCCAGATCCGTTGCCTTTGCAGTGAGACGGATATTCTGTGGGCGAACGCACCCATTGCTTCACAGTGACAGCTTAGCCACTCCGAGCTCAGCTGTCTCCACTTGGCAAGGCCTACGAATATGCGCGGCTAGAGCCTGACGATCCCGAGCAGGCAGGACCTCATTCTCTGCCAAAAGGCACATGAAAGCTGTCAAGCACCTTTGGTACGAATTATGCGTTCGACCAGTGCTTCAGCTACATGATTCAGGCGCCTGACAAAGCAAGCCTTTCCAAAGTGACTAAGTCTCTGCGTGGCACATGAAAAGAACATGCTTCCTGCCGGCCAGAAGATGTACCAGGGCTTCTTCAGGCATCTCCTGGCTTGTATTGATGGACACTTCGTGCATGCATGGCATCAGACTTGATGCGCTCTTAGACATACATCCACCGAAGATTCCTGGCCACTGGCATCGATTGTAGAAAGCGCCGCAAGGCTTGCCTCGGATGCCTATATAACAGGTAAAGCTTCTTCAACCAACCAGCCTTGACCTGTAAAACCAACGGCTTGTTTAACCAATTGTTTCCATGTTTTGAGCCGCCAAGAGGAGGTTTGAATCCGGCTGAACATTTTCCAGTGCCAGGCGGGCGCTGCTGACCGGCATCCCTGCGTGGGTGCGAGCAGAGCCTGAGCCGGAGGCTGGTTCGGGGCTGGCTGAAAGGTCGGTGCAGCGGCTGAAGTGTCTGCTCGGGTTCCCTGAGAACTGGCTGCTTCTCTGAAAAAGGGATCCATACACCATCCAACTGGTGGTTTTCTTCAATCCCTAGGCTCATTCCCAAAAGCCTGGGTCATGCCCTTCTCTTGCGCCAGCAAGAGAAATTCCAAGCCTGAATTGGCCTGGTTTGAAATCTTGCTGCCAGCTCACCGTGGGTTCCAGTTTCTCTCAGTTTCTCTGGTGCAGATTTGGGATGGGCCCCCAACCCAAAGGCTTCTGCGGGATTTTGGCCTTTACCATCCCTTAGGTGGAGGTCCAAGCAGATGTCAGGAAGGTTTTCTTGGCCAGGTGCTTGGCAAGCTGAGGATCAACGGGGAGCTCACCGGCATCCATGTGGAGGATCGATGGGAACTTCGCCCCAGACCGGCAAAGCCCTGCTTGTGGGTCAAGTCGGGTGCGGATGGACAACATCCGCAAAGCGTCACCAGCGCTGATGTTTCTGTTGTTGTTTGTGTAAAAAAAAACATGGGTGGATAAACCACCCACAGCTGGGTGCAGATCGATGGGCGTGAAAGTCGGTGGCCGGGTCTCGATGCACGGCCGGCGGCCGGGTCCTTCCGACAGGCTCCGGAAGGCGAGGACTTCTACATCGACCTCAGCAAGTGCCGCTCGGATGGGTGCCGGATGCAGACAAAGGCAAGCTGAACTCAGCAATTGAAATGGATAGGTTGGACGTTGCCAACCAAAGTGGGGACGTTGCCTTGCGCTTTGAAGTGTTTAGGTGGGCTCACTTTACCATTGTGTGACTCAAGTGAACGGATGTCCACGGCATTGGGGTTTTAAGTCTCACGCAGAAAGCGCTCAGGCCGGCAGGTGAACGTCGGGTGCGGCTGTCAGATGGGCTGAGCAGAAGTGATGTCTTTGTGGGTGGACTTTCTCATTGCACAGATTGTGGGTCTGTGCTCGTGTGGGAATGTGTTTTTTGACAAGGATCGTTTTTTTTGAGGGCTTTTGCCTGAGGGCTTCCAAGCCTTGCGTTCTCCGACCTGAATTCCCAAAAACAAATGATTCCTAGATTTTGGGCACCCCCGAAACGTCGTGCGGGCCAGTTGAGCATCCCGCTAGGGTTGGTGCAGACTCGCGCCTGAAGCAGAAGCTGCAGCTCCTCCTGGACAACAAGGCTCTCGAACTGAGGCCCGGATCTTGAAGTTTTACAGCACAATGGGCATCCTATTGTCCTATGGAGGTTGAACAACAGCTGGGGTGTGGTGAATAAAGTGCCACAAAGGTTCCATATGCATGCGACAGGCGCTCATGTGGCAAGGTCGGGCAAGACGTTGAGCAGATGGCACGTGGACGACTCTTGATTACGCGATGTTCTGACGGTTCAATGTAGACTTATTGCTGCATGCCAAGCGGGCACTGCAATCTTTCAAACTCCGCTGAGTGAAACGATTTCGATTCTTCCGTGCTTTGAGGCAGCTACTCAATGTATGCCGTACAACATTTGAGTGTGGCCTTCAAAGTTGGCTTGATGCTTTGGCAGGTTCACCGACATGGAGCACCGCCAAGTTTGCGGCCACATCCTTCCTCTCCTTGTGGATGCGATGCTTGGCATTGAGTTGACCCCTGGGAGGAATCGAAGGCCCAAAGCAAAGATGTTCTCCTTGCCATAGTCTTTTCTTCCAAAAGAGGGATTGTAAATAAGTGGAAGGGCACCGGCCACTTTTCAAGTGGATTCCTTGTGGAAACAATCCTGTTTGCTCGCCCAAGGAACCGTGGATGGTCCAACAGCGCCTGGGAAGATCCGGCGAAGGTCCACGGCAAGGACCGACGACAGGCCCACGTCGCTCTTTCTTGCCACGGGTTCAGGCCGATGTTGAGTCGGTTTCGAATATGGGCAAAGCTAAACATGTGAAGCCTGTCCATCTAAGGGAAACCAACAGGAGGCTGTTTAAACAAGGGCGTTTGGCCTCACTCTGGTTTGTATCTCATACAAGGTTTCTTGGGCCAAAGCCTCATTCGATTTTCTGGGTCCATCTTGCGATAGCACGAATGCCACCTGCAGTGCAGGTGCAGACCCTGAATTGATGCTGAAGTCCAGCGCTCTCTTGTCTCACCTATTGGCAAAGCCACGGAATTCGCAGCCGAAGCTGATGGCCGGAGGCTGGAACTGTACCTGAGCTACCAACTGTGACAAGTTCAATGGTAGCGGTCAACTGTGCACCGGTCAGAAATAAATGTCATGCCAACACAACTGCCAGCAACACTTTGCGCAGCAAGACCGTCAACGACAAGTATCTTCTTGCCATTGCAGCGTTTCAACACATGAATGCTCATGGTTCTGAGTTGGAACCGGCTATCCGGCTTGAGCAATTCGCAGATTTTCAGGGCATCAGGCGCCTGCCATGCCTTGCTGTGCCGATTTTGCTGGGCGACATGGCCTGTGATTCTCAATGTTTGATTTCCTTTCCTTGTTGCTTTTGACAGGCGTACCTGTCAAGATGGGGAGATGTAGATTTAGTGCACCTTTGACTTGATTCTTTCCGAACCCGCAGGAATCACCGTCATTCCTTGAAGCCACGCCTCCCAACCTTTTTCGTCCGCAGGGTCAGAGAACCTGGCGGTGCGACTTGCAAGCCGCCGGCGACGGAGTCGGCGTTTTTTGGGCCCTGCCCTGGAAGTGCAACGGCTTGAAGCTTAGGGTTGTCAGAATGCTAACCATTCTTCCGCCAGACTTCCAGGGTTCCGAGAGATGCGGCGCAGCCTGTCAGAACTTATGGCCAGACGCAGAGAATTCCATGCGGAGAAGCAATGGATCAGGTCTTCAAGGGGTTCCTTCTCAAGCTGCTCCGATGGCTTTTCTTTTTCCCCGTATCCGGTTGGAACCTTTGTTCGTTTGGTGTCAAAAGATCGTTCGCGTGGCCAGCGAATGCGTCGCAGGTACTATTCGACGGTGCTGCCACGGCTGCCGATGTCAACTAAGAGGCAGCTGGAAGCCAAGTTGGCGTGGAGCCCAGCTGGGGGTGTGGCAGCGGCACGGGTGAAATCAGGCTGCTTTCCCCATTTTTGCGAGCACCCAAAAAGACGTAAACCAAGCCTTCTTTTGTTTCAACAAACTGGAGCACATGAACCATTTTTTTTAAAATTATTTTATTGTATTTTTATTTCGGGGTTTAATCAAGAAATGGAATCTTGGGTTCTAACATGTGCCATGGTGAAAAGGTCAACCTTAAGGGCTCAGGGAGTTGCTTGTGCCAAAGGGTCGGTCGCTACGACGAAGTCCAATGTGCAATTCGGCGCCCGTTTCAGTCCTGAAGGAGCCTTAGAACAGGGGATACCTAGAACAGGGGTCCCTATGTTTCCCATTTTGGCGGTTTTAAACATCACCTTTTTGGCCCATGAAAGGTGAGTGTCCCTTGGTGGGGGCGATGGTTTAAGGGGAAAAATAGGGAGCCCTGTACAAGAAGCCCGAGTTTTGACCTCTTGTGACTGTCAGGCGCCGATCCCCCAGAGCCGAAAGCGGTCCAAGTGCAACTTGGCCTTTTTGGAGGCCGGGGGTCCCAGCGCCATCGGCAAGAAGTGCTGACCTGTACAGCCATAGGGTGGCTGTGAGTCAAAACTGTTTTGGGATCCCATTTTGGTTGGTAGGTGAATTCACCACCCATTTTAGAACCTATTTTAGTGGGGATTGGGATGTTCATTGGGGGTACGGGATTTTAACCCATGGCCATAGGGTTTCGAGATCAAAATGGATTTCGGAGCCCTTTTTGTTGGGGCATTAGCACGGAGACACAGAGGTAATCAACAAAAATCTGGGAGACACCTGTTCGATGCATTTCCAAGGTGTTGGTTTTCCCGCCAGTTTGCTATGAGGGGCCGTGCGAGTGTGAGGTCTATCGAGAACAGGGCGTGAAGGTGGAGGTGAACAACGACGGCGACTGGTCAACTGGCTCCACTCTGGAGCTGATCGAGGCTTGCGCTGAAAAAAAAGCTGTCTCCTTTCAGGCAAGTGGTGGGTCAAAACAGTTTCGGATCCCATGTTGGTAGGCGAATTCACCGCCCCATTTTAGTTTACCTATCTTAGTGGTTGGATTGAATCGTATGTTCACTGGGGGTACGATTTGGCTTTTAGGTGTTGACCCATAGCCAAGTGAATTGGGATTTGAAGCCTCGGTTCTTGTAGAGAGTAAACGGGAAGCCACCTTTCAACTGCCACCAATTGGGGGGAGCTGATCCTTGGATAGAGAAGGCTAAACATGATACTGTTTGACTCGATTCGGTTTGGTTGATGGCACTCGTGTTTGGCTGGAATCATTTGCCAGCGCCATCTGGGTGTTGCCAAAAAGACGGTGTTCTTTTTTTCCATCAAAATGGCTTCCTTTGGCTGCTTAAGCTACCAACAAGCTGGGGGTACCCAGCATGCGCAGTTTCTGTCTGTACAGGACATCCCCTCACGGCTGAAGGTGCTAGCCGTTGGCCTCAGTTGCTGCGCCTTGAGTGAGCTCACTTCTGGTAGAAGGGAACCTTGTGGCTAGGAAAGGAACTGGGGCTCCAGTTCTTTCATGCTGAAATTCGTCTGAAGTCTCTTTTTTTTCTCCCTGTTTCAAGGAGCTTGACTGTTGATGTCTACGGCGCGCGTTCTCGGGCGGGCGGGTTTTAGATTGGATTTCCTGCAGAGCTGCACCAAGAAGGGGAGCAGTTCGGGCGCAGCTTGGAATTTGTTGCAGCATTGTATACCATATAGTAAGGAGCAGGCGCGCCTGGGCATGTGGCTTGCGTGCCGATGCCCTGAGTTAAGCCTTACCCGGCAGCGAAAATGCCACGTTTTTCTGGCCCAGGTGAAGATGGAAGACGACAGCGAGAGGGTGATCAGTCTAGGCACAAAGCTGAGTGAAAGCCCATGTGTGTGCTCCTGAGGGCAAAGGTAGTCATGAGATGACTTATGCTTTGCTGCGAGCGGCGAGTTTCGGTTCGGGGCCATGGGTGGTATACTCAGATAGGCACTTGTGCATCTTTTTGGCATTTGGGCTGGAGCAGAAGGGGGTTGGGGGAGGGGGAGGGGGAGGGGGAGGGGGTGGATGGGGCGCGACCGGCATTGGTTGATGTTTAACCCAATCCTTGTTGACTTCCGTTTGCTTTTCCCAAAATCAGGGCAGCCTTGAGAGCACAGGGCCTCCAAGCAAGGGCATACGGGCAGATAAAGGTTAGTACGGGAATATCCCAGCCATAAAAAGTTGCGGCCGCCTTTGTATTTCCTCACATGGTTCTGGTTCAACCATTTTAATACCGAGTTTTGATTGTGACTCAGATAATGCGGGGACATATCTTTGGAATTCTGCTGCACAACCGTCCTATCCTGCAGCAGGAGATCCCGCAGGGTTTTGGCTCAGCGTTCTAGCGAAGGCTGGACTGGGCCGTATGATGATGGCAACCCGTTGCCCATCAAGGGAGTCTAACGGGAAGACTCTGCACAAGTGACTCGGTGCAAATTCGGCATTCACCTGGCCGGTGGATTCTCTTTCTGGCATGTCAACTTGGTGCCAGTCAGCTCCTGCGCTCTTAGGCTGATTGGCAAAGCTGGATTCGTGCCCTACTATCCAGCAATCTTTGGTCGCACTCACGCCACCTGGCCCAAACGCCAGGCTTGAATTTGCTCCTAGGGAAGCAGCGCTGGTGCTTTGTGCATCAGTGAAGTGACATGCCGATCCCTGCACGTCGTTTGGCCACCGCTCCTTAGGACTTTTGCGTGAGCCTCATGGACAAAAAGCTGGGCAAGGATGTGGACAGCGACTGCTCTTTGCCCCGATTCAGGACGGACCTTGGGTTACGCGGAAAGAAACACCCAGGCGGTCTATTTGTTCGGTGCTAGGAATCAACGTAGCCTGTTCGCAGCCATGTGGTGTGCCGAGTCGTCAGGACGGGCGAGACCGATGAGCCTGCCGAAGATAGTATCAGCGTCGGGGACCTGTCGGACCTGGAGTCTGACTGGGATCCCATTTGCGATACCCTAGGAGCTGACAAGGGTTGCAAGCCGCGTGCCCGTCTTGCCCGCCGAGCTGCGTTTTCGGAACCTGCGCTTGTTTGCTACTCCGTGACGGGTCAATTGCGGTCCAGCAAGCAATCCAGTAATTCCCAACAAGCAACGGACAGAGTCACTGGACCAGCTTTCAGCTGGCCGGCTCGCCTGGCCGGCTCGCCTGGCCGGCTCGCCTGGCCGGCTCGCTCGCTCAGGAGACGTGCCGGGGATTGTGCAAGACAAAATTTGCAGCTCCGACAGTCCTGTGGCTGCTTGTATCCTGGGTGACCGAGCTGAAAGCGGGGCGTTCCACCTGACCCTTGGAATTCAACATTTCTCGTTGGGTTTTTGAGAGCAGGACGAGTCCGCCGGGTTGCCAGTTTTTTCGCGCAGATAGGGGTGGTTGATTCCTCAAAAGGGCCCCCCCTGTTTAAATCTACCTTGGTTGGGCTCAAAGCAGGGAACCCTGCGTCTGACTCGTCTTCGGGGTTGCCGAACGGGGAGACACCAAAAGGCTAGGCGTTGTCCGGTGCTTTCTTATCTTGTGTTCAGTTTTGATATTGTTTTCCTTCAACCTGCTTCATTCGCACATGGCAATGTGCCACTGAATATGGCAATGTGCCACCGAGGATCTCCAATGGCTTTGAGGAGCAGTTCGGCTACTCGAAGAAGGAGCCGAGTCAATCAGTCGCATGCGGCGTGCAAGGCGATGTGCCCGTTGCCCCAGCGCTTGCCCGCATTTGGCTCAAAGGGTAGGGAGTCTCGGACTCATTTTAGTAGCGGCCACAATTTTCACCCCCAGTTTTCGGGGACCATGGCGCACATGGACCAGTATTTGAAGTGCAGGGAGGAGCTTCTGAAGTTCATTGACGAGAACAACTGTGCACCGATCATGGTGCCTACCTCAGCTTTGGCCTTCAGGCAAAGCGATAAACACGCATATAGAATAGATAATATAGTTTAGAATGCAAGATATATATAGCATATAGCATATATATATATATATATATATATGTAACATATAGCATATATATATATATATATATGGTCACCCCCCCCCCAGGGCCTACCTTTGCCCTCTTCTAGTTGAAGGTGTCAACTCTACTCTGTGTGCCTCTTTCTTGCAGATGCCTGAAAACACTGTAAAATACAGTGTTTTTATTGTTTTGTTTACCTTCTATGTGACAGCAAATGTCTGATTATTTGAGGCTTGAAAGGCAGCAAAGCGAAAACGGATTCCGTTTTCAGATTCGAGCCTGGCTTTGATTGAATCACTGGTTTTTACAGTGGTTTTGAGTACACCAGGGAAAAACATTGAAAAAATGATGTTTTTGGCAGCTTTGAGCTCTGCAACCTGCACAGACCCAAAAGCAAAAAATCTCCTGAAAATGAAAGCTCTGAGACCTGCACATGCCAAACACATCTCCAGACCAAGTTTGGGAGTCTGGGGATATGTGCCCTTTATTTGTTTAGCCACATTTAAGCTAAATCATATTTGGGAATGAGTTACTATTAGAATTTTGATTGCAAAGGCCAAGTGATTTCTTTCCAGAATAAGCTATATTCCAATTCAAGCTGTATTTGGGGATGAATTCTTGATTAAATTATTATGTTCAAAAGCTAATTGAATTCTGTCTGCATTAAAGTATATTTGGATTCTACTGCAATCATATTTTCCTTTTTTGGAAAGGTATTCCTGTTCAAATTCTGATCTAATATAGACATTATGGTGAATTATGAATGGTGGTGAACTATGTGCTTACTAAATTCTATTCAATAAGCAAATTCAATTCGGATCAAAATCGTATTTGGAAAGGAATGTGTACTTGGATATGTTGGACTCCAGGCTCCAAATTATGAGGCTTGGAGAATCCAACATTAGACATCTCAAGGATTCTGATCTCCAGATTCTAGGTTTCAGGTGTTTCAAATTGGACATTTCAAGGGATTAGAGATCCAACAAAATGCTGTAAAACACAGTGTTTTGCAGCAGTTGCTCAGATTGTGTTCCCTTGGACCGAAGATTGTTTTCCCCAAACAACAGTTTTCCCTTCAACATTCCAATTCAATTCGCAGTATATTTGGAAAGGAATCTATATTTAAAAATGTTGGAGGACTCCCAGCTCCAAAATATGAGGCTTGGAGAATCCAACACTAGACATCTCGAGGATTCTGATCTCCAGATTCTAGGTTTCAGGTGCTTCACCATGGACATTTCAAGGGATTGCAGGTCCAACAAAAAACTGTAAAACAAAGTGTTTTGAAGAAATTGCTCAGATTGTGTTCCCTTGGGCCGAAGATTGTTCATTTCCCAAACAACATTTTGCCCCCTTCAACATTCCAATTCAATTCGTGTTGGAGTACTCCAGGCTCCAAATTATGAGGCTTGGAGAATCCAACATTAGACATCTCAAGGATTCTGATCTCCAGATTCTAGGTTTCAGGTGTTTCAAATTGGACATTTGAAGGGATTAGAGATCCAACAAAATGCTGTAAAACAGAGTGTTTTGCAGCAGTTGCTCAGATTGTGTTCCCTTGGACCGAATGGACAGCCTTTGATATAACAGTGCAGCAGTGATGACACACCCACACACAATCATCAACCTTTTAGGACCACATGCCCAAACCACATCAAACAAGGCCTCAAATGAGTGTCCTTTTTTCCCCAAACAACAGTCTCCACTTGCTACGCAATAAGCCTACAGAAGGTTTATAAACTTTCAGGAAAGTTTATAAACCTTATTGAGTGTTTGACGAGTTTCCCGCGTCAAGGCAACAACACCCTACGAAGTGTTCATGGTATCGTTGAAGGATGGGGGGTTGGTTGGAAGGGGGAGGGGGAGGGGGGGGGGGGGGGGGGGTGGGTTGGAGGGGGGGGGGGGGGAAAGGGGGTAGGGGGGGGGTGATCCCTCCCCCCTGCCTCCCCCCTGTCCCCCCCCCCTCTGACCCCCCCCTGACTGTTCAACCAGATCGTCTTCCTTGACCCCCCCTTTTCCTTTTCTTAAACTGTCTTATAACTCTTTGCTGTTGTTACTCAACATGACTTGTCACCCACAAAAAAATATGCAGCAACAGCACACTTCTTGCGTATATATGCTCACACCCCCTGTCTTTAAAAATAAGAGGGTTTTGTACATTTTGAAGTGGAAAGGTAGGCCCTGGGGGGGGGGGGGGGGTGAGCTAATATATATAACACATATAAATATAAGTATAATTCTAGATAAAAATAACATAATTCACAAATAATTGAATTCATGAAATAAATGAATAATAGATAAACATTTAAACAAATGAACAAATAAATAACCAAATAAATCAGTGAATAAATAAGAAGGTAAACAAATAAACAAACAAACAAGTAAATAAATAAATCAAACCGTAAATAAAGTAAAAACAAATAAATCAAGAAATACAAAAGTGCATATATGTATATGTATATATATATATACAACGAACTGATATATATATAATATAATATAAATATATATAATATACAATATATATAATATATATAATATATACAATATATATATAATTTAATATATATATATATATATATATATACATATATATATATATATATATTTGCCCCCCCCGCATGATCTACCTCACATTTTAAATTCTGATGAACATAGCAATCATACCCTTGGAGTTGTTTGTTTGTTTCTTTCCCCCCTTTCCTGTGGCTTCGAGATGGGTTAATCATGGCTGTGCCAAACCGACACAAATCAAACAACAACAAAAACACAACTTAGAAGTTTTGGTTTTGCCAAACGCATTGCATTCGCTTTTGTTTTCTCGCGTGTCTTTTGAGTTTTCCTCCAGCTCTTTTTTGGCTTTATCCCTCCAACAAGCCAACCGC